TCTCCCTAGTGAGCCGCGGGCTCGGCCCCCATTCATTTTTTAATGTATTCTAAGTTATGTTAGAGTTGGGAAATCAAGAGTGGGTTATATAAAAAAGGCAACATAATCAGACTTGCATTTCTGAAAGATCACTGTGGTTGCACTGTGAGGAAAAGATTGGAAGGGAAACTGATGGGAGACCTAAATTAAGAAGCTTAGCTAGGATAATAGCAATGGGAATGGGGAGAAGTGGATGGATTTGAGACCCGTTATAGGAGTGAAGGGTGAGGAAGCAGAAGAAATAGAAGATTACTTGTGAACTTCCATCTGAACAATGAATTTTTTTTTTTTTTTTGTCCTTTTTGTGACTGGCCGCACCGCACTTAGCCAGTGAACGCATCTCACCGGCCATCCCTATATAGGATCCGAACCCGTGGCGGGAGAGCCCCTGCGCTCCCAGAGCCGCACTCTCCCTAGTGAGCCACGGGCTCGGCCCCCATTCATTTTTTAATGTATTCTAAGTTATGTTAGAGTTGGGAAATCAAGAGTGGGTTATATAAAAAAGGCAACATAATCAGACTTGCATTTCTGAAAGATCACTGTGGTTGCACTGTGAGGAAAAGATTGGAAGGGAAACTGATGGGAGACCTAAATTAAGAAGCTTAGCTAGGATAATAGCAATGGGAATGGGGAGAAGTGGATGGATTTGAGACCCGTTATAGGAGTGAAGGGTGAGGAAGCAGAAGAAATAGAAGATTACTTGTGAACTTCCATCTGAACAATGATTTTTTTTTTTTTTTTTGTCCTTTTTGAGACCGGCCGCACCGCGCTCAGCCAGTGAGCGCTTTGAGAGCACCGGTCATCCCTATATAGGATCTGCTCCCGAGTGCGCCACGGGCTCGGCCCTGAACAATGAATTTTGATGTCATTCACTAAAACAGGAAATACAAATTAAGAAATCTGACCACATAAAAATAAAATTTTCTAATTGGCAAAAACAACAAAAGGAAAACAAAAAAGTCAAATGAGGGAATGAGGGAACACTTAATTCTATTTTATGGAATGAAGTGTTGAAGTGTTGCCCAATTCTAGAATCACAATAAAGCCAACTGAGATCTTCCAAAAAAAAAAAAAAGGTCAAATGATAAACAGGAGGGAGGGAGGAAAGGTATGCAATTCATTTCACAAAGGGCTTATTTTCAAAATATATGAAAAGTTCCTATAAATCAATATCAGAAGTCTAACATCCAACAGAAAATGGACAAAACACACGAATAAATATTTCACTAAAAAAACATACCAATATTCTTTTTATTATTTTTGGCAGCTGGTCAGTACAGGGACCAAACCATCAATAGTTCTTAAACATATAAAAAATGTTCAACCTCATTCATAATTTTTTAAAAGTGAAATAAAAACAACACTAAGATACCATTTTACACCTATTAGAATGGCAAATATTAAAAAAATGTGATAACCAACTGAGGTGATGGAGGAAAAACAGGTACTCTCCTACACAGCTGGTGAGACTGTAAAATGGTATGATCACTATGGAGGTGGATTTGGCAACATCCATCAAAATTACAAATTTTGACTCAACAATTCTACTTTTAGGAATTCATCCTAGTTATATTTGCAAACCTGCAAAATGACAAGATATACAAGCTTATGCAATGCAGCACTGTCCATAATAGCTAAGGTAACCATAAAACATATTGCCCAAATTTGCAAGAGGAAAAGGACATTATTAATACTTAAGGTGGGACAACTGGCATAAGCTGAGACTGTCCAAGGCAAACCAGAGTACATGGTCATTCTAGTAATAATAAAAGATGTAAAACAACACAAATGTTCACCAATAGGGGACTTGTTAAATAATAATACACCCCAAAAATAAAATACTATGTAGCCATAAAAGGAAGCTCATTATGTAGTGATTTGGAAGGGTCTCCAAGCTATAAATTTTTTTTACAAGGCAAAATACAAAACAGTGCTTATAGTATGCTACCATTTGTGTAAAAGAGGAAAAAATATACCTGATTAGATATGAATAAAATATATTCGTAAGGATATATTGAAAATCAACAACACTGTTTGCCTCTGCGGAGGAAAATTGGGTAGCTGGGAAACAGGAGCAGGAGGGCAACCTCGCTATATGCCCTTTTGTACCTTTTGAATTTTGAGCCAGCTGTACAAATAAAATTGTAAAAGAAAATGGCCCTGGTAACAAGTTGGAAAATTATAAGTTTTATGATCTATATTTTTCCCCTGCTTATGCTTCGATGCTAAATAATAATAATTCTGTTAAACAATGTGATCCTATAGAGTTCCTTAACAGTTTTCAGAACTGGATGGTTAGCTTAGATGCTTGGTGTGGTGCTTATAACACCAAGGTCCAGTGTTCAATTCCTGTACCAGCCAGCCACACACACACACAAAAGTTTTGAAATCATTTTAATTCTGCTATAAACATAGGCATGAGAATTGTCCAAAACAAAACTAAGATGATATTTCAGAGAAATTTGAAATCAAGTATCTATCTCAGAAAATTTGCATGTAATATTACTTTTTTTTTAAAATTTGGCACCTTCTGTACTTTTCACTGTGATTTTTCACCTAATTAAATTAACTAGATTGAAATAAAAATGCAAACGAGTGAGTAAATATACTTAGCCCTGAAAAATCTTTTTTTTTCAGTGGGGGGACAGCTGGCCAGTCCAGGATCCGAACCTGAGACTTGGCAAGGCTGCACTTTAACCAACTGCGATAACCAGCCAGTCTGAAAATCTCTTTTCTAATTGGTAGTTGCTATATAACTTACCTGATCATCTAAAATTGTTTTATCTATAAATTTCCTGAAGGTCAGAGAGCTATAATATTTTTTGCAAATTGACAGGTCAAAGCATATGATGCAAAAAATTTCAAATTATATAAGATCTTAACAAATTATGGCTTATGGGGCTGGCCAGTTAGCTCACTTGGTTAGAGCACGGTACTAACAACACCAAGGTCAAGGGTTCAGATCCCAGTGCTGGCCAGCAACGACAACAAAAATATGGCTTATGGAGTGTTTCAATTAAGTGTGGACAAAAATTAATTTTACCTAGTCTTTTAGAGAATGGTTTTGTTTGTTCACTACATAGTAATACAAGATTCTGACAACATCTTCCATATTCTTCGTTTAAAAAAAAAAAAAATTACAATGCTATTGACCAGACCTTGAAGGTGTTTTCTTTTTGCTGTTTCAGCAAAGACTTTCAAATTCTTTCAAATTAGCTTTTGCCTACAAAGAGTTTTCTAAAATATACCTGAAGAATTCTGATAAAATCTACTTTCTCTTAGCATATTTTAATGATTCAGACTTGCTATAATCTATTTCAGTGGCCATTAGAGGAACCAGATTACAGGAGAGATTATTCAGCCAAAAGGAGAAACTGTGTATTAGGCGTTGTAAATAAACCAGTGTGATGATATATTGGTGGGTTTTTTTTAACATGCTCATATTTATATTTTTTTCGGTCCTATAAAGTTTGTTTTTTATTGTCCTTTATTGGCAGCTGGCCAGTACAGGGATTGAATCCTGGACCTTGGTGTTATCAGCACCACGCTTTAACCAACTGAGCTAACTGGCCAGCCCCTATTTTTTTTTTTAATTTCTGGATCCCCCAGCACTAAGCCTGGCACACACTGAATTAATAGAAGCTGATATGTCAGAGCTCCCATACTTAACATTTTACCCACTAAAATATAAGCTTATCATTTACAAATGGAGAAAATAAGACAGGAAGGAGTTTGTAACAACAGTACCATTAGCAAAAATTAATGAAAAAAAAGTGAAATAATCTTTCACTTGAACTAATTAACATCCCAGCTACAGTCTAAAGAGCAAAACGAATGAGAGCTTCTAAATCATAAGAAATAAATAGTCTCCAAACACAAACATCAGTTTCCAATTTTATACCACAAAGGATTTAGCTTTCCTTATTTAAGTGTTCAAATCATTAAGAACAATCCTTGCTCACAAACACAAAATTCTGGCACAGCCATGGACTGACCTAAAAACCCACTATTAGAGATACACAGAAGAATTTTCTTTTACTTAAGAAAACCCTTATTTCTAGCTACCCTAGTTACAGTTGGCTAATACGTTAGCATGTATTTAACTAGATGGGTCCTTTTCAAATGAGAAACAACAAAATAGGACTTATCCCTGCCATGCTTTAGCCACCTGGGATGACAAACTTGTTCTTGATTATCATATACTTTACACAGTACTATGGGCCTCCCAAGTCACAAGTTCATGCTCCATCCTCATGCAAAGGCAGCAATATTGTATTGGAGACAGAAATCAGTCCAAAGGTCAAAGTGTAGCTGAGGCTTGTTCTCTATGCAAAGAACCTCCATTTCTACAGGCAGATTTTCTTTACTTCCAACCAGTTCCTATTGGCAGAAGAGGACAGGGAAAAAGAGAGTGAGAAACTCATTATTGATTATAATTAAAGTTAATTTTTAAACAGTAGGGATAGAACATAAAGGAAGCAAATAACTTCTGGGTAATGTTTAGAAATTCCCTAACGTGTGGTATTTTTCTCTTGAACAGATCAAAAAGCTTCAGAGAAATAATAACATTCCTATGAAACAAGGATAAGATTAGCTTGTTACACATGGAAAAACTAATGTGGATTGAGTTTATACTAAGTATTAAGACCCTTTGCCTCTTGAGCAAAGCCAAGCATGAGGCAGCAAGCCGGAGTCCCTGAATTGGAGGGAGTCCGACCAACAAAACAGATAGGGCAGACAGGGAATGACTACAGCAAGGAAAAACAAACAGAAACAAAAGAAAGGTCATTCCATCTGGTTTCAAACAAATAAACCCTCCAATCCTAACAAAGGCAAAGGAGAACGGCCTTTCCACAGAACACGTATGGTTTTGATACTTATTTTCCCACGGTTACCCTTGATGCTCATTTTCATTCAAAAATGAAAAGAAAAAGGACTGTCCCGTGGCTCACTTGGGAGAGTGTGGTGCTGATGGCGCCAGGCCCACGGTTCGAATCCCTGTATAGGGATGGCCGGTTGGCTCACTTAGGTGAGCATGGTGCTGACGACACCGAGTCAGGGGTTGGGATCCCCTTACCGGTCATCTTTTTAAATAAAAAAAAAAATTTTTTTTAAATGAAAAGAAAAGTAAGTGATATTTTTGAGACAGAGCTGCCTCAAGAGGCAACTCCCAGTACTGTATCACAATGCTTCGACGAAAAATAGCTCCTTTAAGGAAGGGGTCATTTCTCCTGGTATCATTCTATTCAATAGATAATCTTGGGGAAGGGCTGCATGATGGAGAGACAGCCTCGCAGTCAAAGAAAATTGGCTCTAATTTCTGGCTCTGGTACTTACTAGCTGAGTTACCTTATGCAACAAGTTCTAATTTCTTAGTTTCCCCATGTTCAAAATGAAACCCATAACTGCTTCTTAGGTCTCGGATAAAACTATCTAAGTGATTGACACACCAGAGGAACTCAATAATAGCTATTACTTACACAAGTTCCCACTAAATACAGATGCTGTGTTAGATGCTGTGGAGACACAAGGTGAAAGTTCTCCTACTTGCATATGACAGAATTCCTGAATGTTCTTAGCTTTCAAAAATATTTTTGTACGTCACCTCACTTCTGCCAGTGAGGAAAACAAGGGCAAGCAATTAAAATCACTAAAATCTGGGGAGCATTTAACAGTTTATAAAATGTTTTCGTGTGCGCCGCTTTACTTTGACGTCTGAACTTAACAGCTACCAAAACTAGAACCCAGGCGTCCTACAAACACCAGGGCAACCATCTCGCCGCCCCCTGCCTCACTAAAGTGTTCGGGAGCTGTTTCTAGTCGGAGTATTTTGCGGCCACCCGGCTCTTCACTCACCACCACCGCACGTCGGTGACTAGATTGCGGCGGCTTACTGGGGCCCATATTTGGTCTTCGAATGTCGAAGGTAAGTAAGTAGCCTCCTGACCAAGGCTCCCTCTTATACTTCTCTCTCGAGGCAGCGCTCTCCTCTCTGAGAATTACACCGCTCCCGGACCCCCGGCTTCGCAGCCGCTCACCTTCGACTTTCCCGCCCTCGGGTTTTGCACGCACCGTCCGCCGCAGGCGCCGGCGCGCGGAAGAATCCGCAAGCTTTTGCGGGTAGCCCATTCCCCTTGCTCTCATTGGGTATCCTCACCCTTTCCTCAGTGATTGGGCTTGAGGATTGTTTATTCTGACTCTAGGCACCGCCCACTACCCTCCACCCACTAGGCCCTCTCCGAGAGTCCCCGAACACACGTCACCCATCCCTCGTCTAGGGTGAATGAGTTCACTTAGCCCTGCCGCGAGCTTTGAAGGGACGGGACCCTCCTCCTGCTCCAACCACACCCACCTTTTCTCCAACTCCCAGACTCCGCATTCCCTCACGTAGCGGCCCCGCACCGTGTCTCGCCCGCGACTCCTCTGCCGCTCCCTCCCAACCACGGCTCAGACGTCGGGCGCTCGGGCAGAGCCGGCGGCGCGTTGGGGGCATGCGCTCCATGAAGGCTTTGCAGAATGCGTTGAGCGGGGCCGGCAGAAGGGGAGGCTGGGGTCACCTAAGCCGGAGCCCCCTCCTTGGCGGGGGCGTCCGTCACCACCTCAGTGAGGCCGCGGCGCAGGACAGGGAGAAGCCTCACAGTCACCAGCCGCAGCACCAGGATCAGTAAGGCTCGCGGGACAGGGGGAGGGGATAGGCTTGCTCCCACTCCCACTGTCGTTCTCGCTGGCTCCCGAATCCCCTTCCCAGGGTGCACATCTCCTCTCCCCTCTCGTCTCCTCGCCTACTAGCCTGCGATGCCTTTTCCTTTAGATTTTGGGCATTGGGCTCGCCGCACTCTGGCGGTAACGTGTCGTCCGCCGGGGAGGGCGTTTGGGCAGGTGCGTCCTCTGGATGGTGCCTGTCCAAGGTGCGTACTTAACTGGAAACGCAGATGGACGCAGAGTATTGCTTGGTGCACTTGTCTGAGTTCAGAGCCGTGTGCACGCCGGCCCATCCTCAGCCTCCCTGTCCTCCCCGGTCCTCGAATGTATCGTAGGGGCTGCGTGGGTATGGAACAGGCTCCTGCCTCAAGTGTGCTTAGGTCTGTGCGGTGTATCTGTGTTTCTGCGTGTCCTCGGCGGATAATGTGTAATGCGTGTATAATTAGTGCGCAGGTACATGCATATGTGTTGGGTGTGTGAGTAGTAGGGCTCCCAAATCTGTAGAATAAGGATGGTTTTCCAAATTGACTGCTGAATGGGGAGAATATTTATAATGGTGGAAAAAATCATAAGACGCCAAACCGGAGCCAGTCAGCCCTTATTTGTGTTGCATAGGCATCCTGATTTAAAGGATTCTTTTCCCTTGCCTTGCGCGCTTCCTCCGCCCGGGAGGTGGAACGCCCCCCCTCCCCTCCCGCCCTGGAACCCTTGGTGGCTGAGCACCATTTTTCTCCCAGAAGCAGACAGCGCTGAGAAGGAAATCTCGCCCTCCCCAGAGGGCCAGCATAGACATTGTCCAGGTAGCCCCTGCCTGTTACAGTAGGAACAGGAAATGGGCCATCTGCCCTATCACTGACATCTACCTGATGACATTCAGAAACATATGCACACCATAATTAAAGTATCCATACTGACACAGGAGTACCTTACCACCACTGGAGTTCCTGTCCTGAGGGCTAACAGGCCAATAGGTATTATTTATTATTAATAATCATCATTATGCAGTACTTTTCTATCAGCCTCTTCTCAAAGAGACAAGGAACATTTAAAGAATAAGCCCTCTCCCTCCCAGTCTCCACTTCAACTTCCTTCCAAATAATCACCATGGGAGAAATGGTGGTGGGATAGAGCAAAGGCTTAACCTTCACCCTTCCACCTTCTGTGGGGTAGGGAGCTAGAGGTATCCCTTCCAGGTTCCCCCCGCACACACATAACTCCTGTCCAGTGGAGTCGGGTGATGGAAGTTTTTGTAGAGGACCTTGATTCTCTTGCCTGTGGCTGCCTGAGCTACAGGGGAACCTCTTGGTAATGGCCTTAGACTGATGCTCCCTGGGCAGAAGAATTGAGAACAGTGGAAAGTGATGGGTTCTGGGAACATGATGCCATGAAGGAAGGGGTTCCAGTGGTTGGGGGAGGGAGTCAGCAAAGAGAAAATGATCTGTTATTTGGGGTTTTGTTTGTTAAATATTTAGCTTTATTGTATTTCTGATTTTATTTTATTTTTTGTTTTTCTGATTTTAAAAGAAAAGATAGAGTATCAAAAAGAAACAAAAGATCCCAATATTAGGGATAACCAATTAATATTGTGATATATCCATATATATCCTATGTGTATGTATGTATATACACATAATTTTTAAAAATAGGATCACAATATTTATATTCTTTGGTAACCTATCTTTTCCATTTATGAACATCTTTTAATATCACTGAATATATGTATGTGTATAACATTGTCATTTTTAGTAGCTGCCATTTTGCCATTTTAAAGATTCCATTATATGAGGTATCATAATTTATTTAACGAGTCTTCAATTTGGTTACTATATACTCTTTTGTGCACTTGTTCAATTATTTCTTAGAGTAAATTTCTAGGAAATTTTACTCCCCAGAGACATGTGATGTTATTGGTATCTTGTATAGCCTTCTAGAGATATTTTATGCATATAATACATGTTGATATTATTTTACTTTTTTATACAAACGATATCATACTATACACATTGTTTTGCACCTTGCTTTTTTTCCCTCAACATTGTATTGGTGATCAATTCATATCTGAGTCAAAGGGTATGTCATTTTTTTTTAATTGTGGTAAAATATATATATACCAGGGCCAGCCCGTGGCTCACTCGGGAGAGTGCGGTGCTGATAACACCAAGGCCCCGGGTTCGGATCCCACATAGGGATGGCCGGTTCGCTCACTGGCTGAGCGTGGTGCTGACAACACCAAGTCAAGGGTTAAGATCCCCTTACCGGTCATCTTTTAATAAATAAATAAATAAATAAATAAAATATATATATACCATAAGGTTTGCATTTTAAGTATTTTTAAACATACAATTGAGTGGAATTAATTACATTCACAGTGCTGTGTGACCACCACCTTTATCTCCAAAACTTTTCTTTCATCCTGAACATAAACTCTGTACCCATTAAGCAATATTTCTCATTATTCCTTCCCTCCAGTTTCCGGGAACAAGGGGTATGCTTTTTTTTATTTAAGACCTGTGATACATTCCATGGTGTGGCCTCATTTCCTGTCTTCCATCAGCTTCCAGGCACAGAGACCTGCCTTCAAAGTGTTCCTGTGTACTTTCCTTCTTGAGTTATACCTCAGATAGCTTTTCCCCCCTCTCTTCTCTATAAGCTCTAGCTTCAATGTGACAATTAGATTTTCCCCAGAAACAGGAAACTCCCCCATCTTTTGGTATTCTTCTTGGCCCCAAATATACACATATCTAGCCTATGCCAAGCTTCTTTTTTTTTTTTTTGGCGGCTGGCCAGTAAGGGGATCTGAACCCTTGACCTTGTTGTTGCAACATTGTGCTCTAACTAACTGAGCTTACCCACCAGCTCTCTATGCCAAGCTTCTTGAGAGTCTTTTTATTTTTTAATGCATTATTTCAATAGATCATATATTCATATGGTTCAAAATTCAGAATATGCAAATGAGGGCCGGCCCGTGGCTCACTTGGGAGAGTATGGTGCTGATAACACCAAGGCCACAGGTTCGGATCCCTATATAGGGATGGCCAGTCAGCTCACTTGGGAGAGCGTGGTGCTGACAACACCAAGTCAAGGGTTAAGATCCCCTTACTGGTCATCTTTTAAATAAATAAATAAATAAATAAATAAATAAATAAAATGCAAATGATATATAGTGAAAAGTATCCCTTCCACCCCTTTTGCCCACCTCTTTAGGAGATGAATCATTTTTTATATGTCCTTCCAGAAATATTTTGTGCCAGAATAAGCAAACATATGTATTTTTTCCCTTTTAAACTGTTCTACAATGTGCTTTAGTTAATATTACATCTTGGAGATAATTCCATATCGATACTCAAAGCACTCCCTAATTTCTTTTTTTACACTGCATAATATTCCATTATATGAATATACCATAATTTCCCTTACCAATTCCCTTCTGATGCACATTTAGGTTGTTTCCAATGTTACTAACAATGCAATGAATAATGGTGAATATGTTACTTTGTAGGTGTATAAGTAAGCCTGCAGGCAAATTCCTGGATGTCAAATTGTTCTCAAAGGGTTTTGAATGGTCTTAGTCTCAGCGAGCTGTCATATTTGGAAATGATCTGATAAAATAATTCCTCTAAATCTGTTAACATACTAATAGGAAAACTCCTGAAGACCGAGAAGTCTTCAGTACCTGGAATTTTAGGTGCTATAAGCCAGTGAGAGAGATACTTTGAGGCACAGGGACTTTCCTAGCAGTGCAACTTGGCAATTCTTATTGACGACCCACCGTGTGCTAGGGACTTTGCTCAACACTAGGAAGACAAAGATGTATAAAACACAAAGACCTAACAGTGGAGTGAGGGAGATTCCTCTGACAGTAAGATGGTATGTTGTGTCATACAGCAGCATAAGCAAAATTTGGAGGTTTGGGGAAGTCTTTACAGAGTTAGTGACATTTGATCTAGACCTTGAAGGATGATCATGACTGTGCTAAGTGAAGAAGGTCATTCCATACAGAAGTTACAGCATAAACAAAGGCCAGGAAGCCTCACAGTGCCTGACCCACTCAGGGAGCCATCTGTTATCTCTCATAACTGGAGTGTGAGGGTATTGGTGGGGAAGAGGAAAGAAAAGTTGGCACAGTTTAAAGAGTCTTGAATGCCATACCAAGAAATAAGAACTTATTCTGTAGGCACTGCTGAGCTATTAAAGGTTTTTGAAATTACACTGGAGTTTTAGAAAGATAATTGGCACATTGTGGAAGATTGATTGAAAGTCAAGAGTATAGTGGCAATTAGGTAACAGACAATAAGGAGCGGTGATAAAGAAGCACAATTTACAGAGCATCTACTTAGTGTCAAACAGTTTTCACGGAATATTAATTAAGCCCTACATCACCCATGTGAACTAGACATTACTACCCTTATTTTACAGATAAGGAAGCAGGTACAGCAATATTAAGTGACCTGCCCAAGATCACAGCTAGTAAGTGGCAAGCTGTTTTTTTCTACTACACCATGCTGGCACAGGGGAAAAGGAGAAGAGAGGGTGGACTTGAGAGACATTATGAAGGTAGATTTATCCAGTGTTGGTGACTAACTGAACATGGACTTAAGGTGTGGGAACTATCAAAACGATTTATCATATCCAAATTGGCACCCAGGTTGATAATGCTATTAACCCAGATGGAGAACACAAGAGGAGGAGAAGAGGGAGGGATGCGAGATGACTCAGATTTGGAAATGCTGAGTTTTCAGTGCCTGTAGGCTATCTAGAAGTAAAAATGTCTAGAAGACAGCTAGAAATAAAGGTCTGATAGTCAGAAGTAAAAGAAAGCTGGAGAATAATATTTACAACATCTCAGGACAGATGTGAAAGTGAGAATTATAGGGATAGATCAGATGGTTCAGGAAGGAGGCATAGAATGAGGACACTGACCTACTTATAAACCCATGTTCCAAGAGGAAGAACAGGGAGCAGTTCTCAGGCTTCTTCTCTCCTCCCCTGTCTCTGCCTCCAAACAGTGATTCGTCAGAAAGTGGCATGCTGTCCCGTCTGGGTGATTTGCTCTTCTACACAATTGCTGAGGGACAGGAACGAATCCCTATCCACAAGTTCACTACAGTAAGTTGCACTTTACCTGTTCAGATCCCTCATCTCTTAGGATCTCTGGAAACTGGGAAAAGGAGGGTAGGACAAGTGCAAGGCAGCTAACGGGTTGCTACATGAGGATGGAGAATAAGACAGATGACAGCAGATGCCTAGGGTAACAAGACAATCCCATCCCTGTCCTAGGGTCGGAAGATTAAACCCTCTGACTCATGAAAAAGGGCAGAAAACCCTTGTTAGCCTTCAAGGCATCTCCATTTCCTCCTTTCTCAGTTTCCAAACCTTTATGTTCATATATTGTAGTAGTTAGGGTTGAGCTAATTGGGTATCCATTCAGAAAGATTATTAGGATTAGATTACTGTCCTTGTAGCTGAATTTACCAGTCCTCTTTTTTTCCCCTAAAGGCACTGAAGGCCACTGGACTGCAGACATCAGATCCCCGACTCCGGGACTGTATGAGTCAGATGCGCCACATGGTTCAAGAGTCCAGCAGTGGTGGCCTCTTGGACCGAAATCTCTTCCGAAAGTGAGAGCTCCAGAAACAAGGGCACTGCTCTCAAAACTGTTCTGTGGGGCCGATCCCATGGCTCACTCGGGAGAGTGCGGCACTGGGAGTGCAGCAGCGCTCCTGCTGCGGGTTCGGATCCTATATAGGGATGGCCGGTGCACTCGCTGGCTGAGCGCGGTGCGGGCGACACCAGGCCAAGGGTTGCAATCCCCTTACCGGTCACAAAAGAGGACAAAAAAAAAAAAAAAACTGTTCTGTGGAAATAGACTATGAGAGCAGGAAGGAATCTTGGGGACTGTAGAGTTCAACCCCTCATTTTATTTTACTATTTATTACACAAGTTATACATCAAATACTCATTATAAAAGTTTGAACAATATAGGAATACATGCTCTCCTTTTGCTCTCTACCCATCAGCCCCAGTTCTCTTTTCCCAGAAGTAAACATTGTTAACAGATTAGTGGGTATTTTATAGATAATGTCCTATGTATTTACATACATGTGTGAATATATGTAAATATGTGATTTAGAATTTTATTTATTTATTTATTTATTAAAGATGACTGGTAAGGGGATCTTAACCCTTGACTTGGTGTTGTCAGTACCACGCTCTCCCAAGTGAGCCAACCAGCCATCCCCATATAGGGATCTGAGCCTATGGCCTTGGTGTTATCAGCACCACACTCTCCCGAGTAAGCCACAGGCCAGCCCTATGATTTAGGATTTTTAAAGTACAAAGGTAATGTACTATACATATTATTCTGGTATTTATTTATTTCTCATATCCCGAGACACTATGTCATGGGACATCTTTCTATGTCATTACAACCCCCTTATTTTAGAGGTGAGGAAACTAAGTCCCAGAAAGATAAACTGATGTCCCAAAGATCACACAGCTCTTGGTCCCAAATCTGATGACCACTCCCAACCTTTATTCCTAACTTCCATGGTTCCAGAGTGAGTCCCAGCTGCATCTCTCCAGCCCCCTAATCCAATTGTGTCTGAGATCCAGGTGTGTGAGCAGCAACATTGTGCTCCTGACCCAGGCGTTCCGAAAGAAGTTTGTCATTCCTGATTTTGAGGAGTTCACGGGACATGTGGATCGCATCTTTGAGAATGCCAAAGAGCTCACTGGAGGCAAAGTGAGAGCCAGGGGACTAAGGGAGGGGCAAGGGTGCTGGGCCAGATCTATCTTGCTTCTCAGAGATTTACTGGGGCTGGGAATCCACTGGATGAGAGATGAGGATGAGAAGGAGGACCTCCAAAAATGGGAACATGGCTTCTATATATGATTCCTAGAGCAGGTGAGGGACTCTGAGGTTTTTATGGAGACAATTAGCAAAGATTCAATAGAGCCTTCAAAGAGATTTATAAGGTAATTGAGCCTAAGAACCAAAAAGGGAATCTGACTCGAGAATTCTTCACTTTCCTTGAGCTTTACTGCCATCACTACAGGATTGGGACTACAGAAAGACCTTCGAAGACTTACAGCTTGGGTGTTTCTGGGAGCAACAGGCAGGAGGAAACCCTTTTGCCCTGTAGGAGACAGAATTTTAGCTTTTATCTAAAAGATTCTCTTGATTTTGAACCTCAGCTCTGTTCCCCTTCTCCATATCCATCTGTCTCCCTTTTCTCTACCCACTCATACCCAGGTGGCGGCCTATATCCCTCAGTTGGCCAAGTCAAACCCAGACTTGTGGGGCGTATCCCTGTGCACTGTGGATGGTCAGCGGTGAGATGCTGGGTGAGAGGAAGGGGAGGCAGGGCACCGGTGCAGAACAAAGGCCAACCTTGCCATGGCACCTGTCTGCCTCCAGGCACTCCGTTGGCCACACAAAGATCCCCTTTTGCCTGCAGTCCTGTGTGAAGCCCCTCACCTATGCCATCTCCATAAGCACCCTAGGCACTGACTATGTGCACAAGTTTGTGGGCAAAGAGCCCAGTGGCCTGCGCTACAACAAGCTCTCCCTCAATGAGGAAGGTGAGCACCACGAGATCTCAGACCAAACTCATAGCCCTTCTTCTTACACCCACTCCCTCCGCAGACTTTTTTGTTTGTTTCTCTGCCCTTCCTGCTTAGCCCAGTCATTATCTTACTCCCCAGCAAAGAAATCATTCTTGTATAACCTACAGAGTGGGCAGGCTGTAAAGGAGGCTTTGTTCAGTGTCTGATAAGACTCTGGGTGGTTTGTATTTCCCCAGGAATTCCCCATAACCCTATGGTCAATGCTGGTGCCATTGTCGTCAGCTCCCTAATCAAGGTGAGTGTCACCCTAACCTTCTGAAAGGCACTATTCTCTAAGCTCCCTTGTTCCTGTATCCCTCATATCTGTTCAGCTGTCCAGTGTGGAGCTTGGATTTCTTTCAGGGTCCCCAGAAGGCACATGAGAGCAAAGCAGGGATCCATGTATTATGCTGAAGATGTTGGTAAAAGAGACTGCACCACCTCTCCCACCCCCATCCCATACTCCCTGCTCCCACCCATGAGTCTAGAGCCAAGACCTTCCTGGCCCGTAGAGAAGTGAGCAGGTCCTGACCCCTGCCTAGAACTAAGGGGCAAATGCCAGAGACAGGGAGGACAGCACTATTAAGTACTGATTGGCCACTTCTGGATAAGGGACACTTGGACGGAGAGGTGAATGGCCAACCCAGGGCAGTTATTCACGTCACCTGGAACTGTGAGTTGGCCTTGAGCAAGGGTGTTAGGCTGGCCCATCAGCTGTAGGTCTCCCAGGGCTTGAGCAAGAACCTGGGAGCAGTGTGGGCAGCAACACTCTGGAGCCAATCACAGCCCCTCCTGGGAAAGGTGGTGTTAGGAACCCTCCCCCCAGGGCCTCAGGTGTCAGAGTCCCTGTGATGTTGACTCTACAGTTGACACATGCAGGAAGCAATGAGTCTGGGGGAGGAGACCAGTCCAGGTCTTTCCTTTCATTCTGTGATGTCTCTATCCACAGCCCTGTATCTGGGACCTGCTTCATCCCATTCCCATCTAAGTATGCCCTATTGGACTTGACTCTCAGCTAAAATCTTTAGCTTCATTTCAGTTGTCAATATAATTGAATATTACAATATATACAACAGACACCTGTATCCCATCCAATCCATCCAGTCCTGGAGATGGGTATGGGAGTCAGGGATGGATAGAATAAGTCTCCAGCATGGTGTGTAAGGAATAGGGATGGAGATCAGGGATGGGGAGGGGCTTGGAAACAGGACTAGAGTCAGGAAAATGAAGATGGGAGTCAGGGCCTGGATTGAGAATGGAAGTGGGGTTGAGATTCATAGTGGGTGAGGCTCATGGGTGGAATGAGATTATATGTATACCCATTCCTTGATAATAAAATGTAAATGGTTTGGTTTTTAAGATCACTATATATAGATGGATAAAAAAAGTTCTCAGTTGTTTAAAAGTTATTGTAAAATGTAACACATTCCAGTTAGCAAGACCAGTCTAAATCTAACTCCACTAGGTTCTTCTGACTCTTCCCTCTGTCATTCTCTTAGGTATACTGACATCTCTCTTTCTTTACAGATGGACTGTAACAAAGCAGAGAAGTTTGATTTTGTAAGTTCCCTTGCTACTCAGCCCCTGGCTGCTTTTCTCCAAGGTATGCTGTCCTCACCAGCTGCCTCAGTGCCTGGCTCTGACCCCACTAGAAGCCTTATTTCCAGAGGCATGGGAATCTGCTGGCCTCAGAGAGGAAAGTCTCTTGATAAGGACTGAGTAATTCAGAAAGACTGGTCAGACTGGGATGTGTTTAGTAGGGGTCCTTAGTCAAGTGGTGCCTCCTCCCATGCCTTTTCTTCTCTTCCAGGTGTTACAATATCTGAACAAAATGGCCGGGAATGAATACATAGGTTTCAGCAATGCTACGTAAGGCCCTGTTCAGAGGATTAGCTGAATGCATTTGGGGGGGGGGGGGGTATACCGGGGGGGGGGGGGGGCTGGGGGGGGGG